TGGAAGCAATGAATCATTATGATAAAACAAGCATACTTACAAAATATTACTGCTTAATTGGTCTAAGATTTGCAAAAATCTAAGATTTTTAAAACATGTGATATCTTGTGTGATATTTTGTCTTCCCCTATCTATAAAAACTATGAATATTCTTTTGATTTTATGGGCTTGGCGAGATGGTCATTAAGATGACGTGAGATGAAGTGAGATGGTCATTAAAGGTGCATAAACATTTTGTAATCAATTCAAATTTCTAGATAGCGTCGCGTTTTAATATTTAATTTATAAAGATAAACCCATTAACTTTTACCTAAACATAAAACGTTCGCCTCAAGATAATATCATTAAATAAATAATCTTATCTCTAGTATACAACTTAACCCTATTTACTACTGGATCACAAAGGTCAAAATTATACTAGCGTACCCAAAAATAGTTTCCATTCTAATAAATCCACTATTAAATTTAATAATGGATAAAGATGCAGTTAATTCTAACACTTTCTTTGACACAAATACACTTTTAAGGCACTTTTTCCAAACAACACTACAATTTGTAATTTTACAAACTTTAATTTTAAAAGATAAAAATTGTTGTTTTAAAACATGGATTTTAAATAATTTTTTTTTTTTAACTTAAGGTGGTTCTTCACAGAAAACGCAAACTTTTGTTAGAAATTAATAAGGAATTTTGCTCGTAGGTTACTTAAGGGATTCGATAAAAGTGGCTAGCCAGTAACTCTTCCACATCTAATATGGCGGCTGCCACTAATGGTCCACTATGTAACTAATAATCCTTTTTACAGCGGAAAAACAGTGAGAAACTCTCAAAATGCCTTTAAAAGTCTACTAAAATTCCGCTGTAAAATGTTTGCTGAGAAGGTTGTTTAAAACAACATTTGCTGTGTGTATTTTTTTCATAAAGTCAAAATTAACTTAAAAATACTTAAAAAATGTATTACTTTGATTTAAAAAAATACGTCAGAGGATTGTTGTAAAGTTTTTATTCTAAAATACTCAAAAATAGTGTTACTTGTGTATTCAAAATGAGCGCATTTGTTAACTATAAAAGTTGTATTAAAAGCTTTATTCATTTAAAAAAAATTTTCATAAAGGTTCAATATAGAGTTTTATATTCTGTAATAAAAAATTTGAGCATTACAACTTTATAAATAAGCGCTTCGCGTAACGAATTTAAAAATTATTATAAAAGATTTAATCTCATTCATTTTTAACGAAATTGAAAAAAAAAAAAAAATTGTTTACAAAAAATAAAATGGTTATTTAAAACATTTTAAAAAATCATAAATTTAATCATAAAAATTAATTGTATGAACATAACAAAAATGCTTTATAACTTTTTCATTAAATCAGCAAAATACATGCTTATATTAGTAAATGAAGTTATTTTATATTCTTGTGTAATTCATATAAAATGTGTAAAAGTTAGTCATCACAAAAGCTTTGAACTTATTTACAAATTAAAGTAACTTAAAAAAATTATTTCTAAAAATAATAGTTTATAAATATTTTAGGAAGACATAAGAAAATAGTTTCAAACGTTTAAATTTATCATAAAAAATAAATGCCTATATAAAAAAAACTTATTTATAATGTTTTTATTAATTAACACAAGTGTTTATATAAACAATAACTATAATTAATTTTATGGTTTTATTTAAAGCCTTTGCGTAAAATAAAAAACTTTAGAAAAGGTCAACAATTAAAAGATATTTATAACGTAAATCTTTTTTATTGCAAATTGTTAAAACATCAAAAAAGCCGTGGTCAAGTTGTAAAGAAATAAAAATATTAGTGTGGTCAGCTACAGAGTGCGATCGCACGCCATTCCTGTCCAAGCCTGCTACTATTACTAATTTATATATATATATATATATATATATATATATATATATATATATATATATATATATATATATATATATATATATATATATATATATATATATATATCGGAGGCGGACTGGCCATATGGGCGTACCGGGACAATGCCCGGTGGGCCGGTACAAAAGTGGGCCGAAAAAAAATTAGGATGATTAATCAAAAAATTCAAATGAAACTAATATAAAACATATTTAAACTTAATGTATGTTCTTTACAAAGAATTATTTGTAAAATTAGTGACGTACATATTTTTTAATCCTTCATTAAGTGTAATGCATAATACATACATACATATATAACATATATACATGCATACATATGGTACAAAAATGCAAAAACCAAAAAAAATAAAAATGCAAATAAAAATACTAATCAAATTCAAAGACCATTGGCAATAGGAAAACACGAAATCTAATCCAAAAAAAAAAAATTAACAAATCACTAAAGAGTCTTCAATAAACCCAAACGCTATCATAGATACCAATTTGGAATTATGCTAACCAATCAAAATTGTAAGAAGATGAAAACTCCGCGCAATCTCAATTTATCTTGAAAATCAATAAGATAAGCATAGGAAAATAATATCGTTTAAAAACTATATATAATAATAGATTTTTAATTTTTCAAATGTCTTAAAATAAGCGATTTCATTCCCAACAGAAATCCTGATATAAGTAAAGCTGATGAAAAAGTGACAACAATTATTGTAGAACAAAATATTGACTGGTTTTCTCGTCCACCATCAACACTTCTCAATAAATTTTTTGAAATCTATCCAATTCAAACTACCAGAAATCCTATTATTGTGAAATCTTTTGTACAGAAAAATGAAACGAATCGTAAATGTTTATCTTACTCTGAAGGCAACAATGCATTAAATTGTTTAATATGTTTAGCATTTTTACCAACTGTTGTAATGAGTTCTTTTGTTAGTGGAATGACAGATAGAAGACACATTCATCAAAGAACTGATGAACATGAAAAATCAGCATCGCATAACGAATGCACAGAAAACTATTTCCAATATGTATCTAGATCCAACGTCTCAAATTTACTGTTTTCTACTCAAATTTATGTACGTCGAGAGCAAGTTCAAAAGCGACGTCTTGTGCTCCTGCGGCTGATTAAAGTAATTGGAAAACGTGGTCTTAGTTACAGGGGACATGAGTTTGAAGCTGCTTATACATTGTCAGATAATTCAATTGATCATGGAAATTTCTTAGAAATGGTGTTACTTGTCAGTAAATATGATACTTGTTTAAAGGAACATTTAAATAGTTGCAATGAACAAAGTAAAAAACGGAAGAACACAGGAAGTACTGGAAGAGGTTCCATGGTTACTTTTCTTTCAAAAACCACAATAATAAAACTCATTCAAATTATGAGTTGTTCCATACAGAAAATCATTTCAAAAGAAATTAACTCAGCTGGTATGTTTTCAGTTCAAATTGATACAACAGAAGATATAACAACTAAAAATCAATGCTCAATAGTTGTGAGGTATATAACTGATCAGATTCACGAAAGATTATTAACTATGATTGCGTGCGACTCTTCAACTGGCGAGTATCTGTCGAGTTTAGTATCTGAAACTTTAAAGGCATTGAACATTGATATTTTAAAGTGTGTTGGTAATTCAACAGATGGAGCTGCAAACATGAATGGTGAATATAACGGTTTCGCAGCATGGATGTTCAAAGAAAATCCAAACCAAATACATGTATGGTGTTATGCTCATGTTTTAAATTTGGTTATTTCAGATACTTGTAGTGTCGTTTTATCCAGTATTTCCTTGTTTAATTTGTTGAATAACGTAGCTGTGTTTATTCGTGGATCATATACAAGAATGAATATTTTTGAAACAGAAAATCAGAATGATATACACTATCGCAGAATTTCAACTATTGGTGAAACACGTTAGTGGTCAAAGGATGCAGCGTTAACAAAAATATTTGGTACCTTTGCCAATCCGCATTCTAGTTTCTATGTCGAACTTGTAGTTGCATTGTCTCATATTGAAGACAATTTAAGTTTCAAATCTGAAGTTCGAGTAAAAGCAAAAGGCTTCAAAGAAGGACTCCTTAAGTATGACACAATTTTTGAATTTGACAAAAAAAAAAAGTCGAGAACTTTATGCTGATTTTGAACTGTTCAAAATTTGAAGTCCTCCAAATTTTGAACAGTTGAAAGCTCATAGTGTACCAACATCTGCTTTAAACAAATTGAGTGAACATCTATTGCTGTTTGATGAAGAAGCTACAGCAGAAAATTTATGTACTGAACTTACTAGTTTTGCTTCAAACTGGAATAATATCAAAGAGTCACTTTTGAGTACATATGACATAATGGATATAAACAAAGAAAGTGTTGAGGAACTTGAATATAATTGTCGAAAGTCATGTACTGCCTGTAAAAACTGCACAGTTTGTTGCTACCTTGTTTTGATTCAATATAATTTAATAAGTGAAGCATACGCAAAAATTGGGTTAGCTTATAAATATACTTTGTCACTTTTATTTACGCAAGTTGCATGTGAAAGAAGTTTTTCAATTTTAAAGTTCATCAAAAATTGCGTAGTAGTATGGCTCAAGAAAATTTACAACCATTCATGCTCATGAATGCTGAAAAGGAAATTCTAAGCAATCTTGATCCCGAAACAATAACTGACGAGCTAGCTGAAACAAGTGATCTGTTTAAAAATCTTTTAGTTGTTTGAAAATTCTTAATTAGTTGATTATTTAAAATAAACATATTTGTTCTTAAAAAATTTGTTTAAAAATTTCATAGCTAAATTATAAAAAAAATAGTTAATTAATTTTCCTCTAATGTGGGCCGGTCCAATATGAAATGCCCGGGCCGATTTTTAGTCCCAGTCCGCCACTGATATATATATATATATATATATAAATATATATATATATATATATATATATATATATATATATATATATATATATATATATATATATATATATATATGTATATAAATATGTATATATATATATATATATATATATATATATATATATATATATATATATATATATATATATATATTGTAAAAGATGCTTTTAAAAATATCTAGTAAAACCTCACCTTGAGGAACTTGTAAAACTCCAAGGGTTAATCCAGATGATAAATCTTTAGATAAATCTTTCCTTATATCATATTTTGGTAGCCATGTTAGTACAGGAAAAAATGAAAAAATAAATTTAAGAGCATTCCTCCAATTTATTCGCTTTTTAATATTTTTTAAAAATTTGTAAAGTCGAATTCTAACATCAATACTGCATTGATTTTCCATAGAATTTTTTCGAAAATGATTTAGTACTTCTTCAGTGTATACTTGACGATGTATCAAAAATTTTCGTTCGTCCATTTTCAAATATTTAATGTATTAATCTTTATTGTATATATTTGCATGTATTATTTAGATCATCTAAAATAAACTTTTATTTTATTTTTTATGACAAAATATAGCCTAGCAAGCTACACTTTATATTGACATAAAAACTCTATACAAGCATTAAGAGCTCTGTGGAGCTTTTGTTGCTTGTTTAGAGGTTTTATGTCAATTTTATTCTATTTTTTACCTAACAAGACTGTTAAGAAAAAAATAGAAAAAAAATATTTGAATTCAAAACTAATTTCTAATAGAGTGTAGACATTTTATCATATAAAGCTCCAATTTATATATATATATATATATATATATATATATATATATATATACATACATACATACATACATACATACATACATACATACATACATACATACATACATACATACATACATACATACATACATACATACATACATACATACATACATACATACATACATGCATACATACATGCATACATACATGCATACATACATGCATACATACATGCATACATACATGCATACATACATGCATACATACATGCATACATACATACATACATACATACATACATACATACATACATACATACATACATACATACATACATACATACATACATACATACATACATACATACATACATACATACATACATACATACATGCATACATACATGCATACATACATGCATACATACATGCATACATACATGCATACATACATGCATACATACATGCATGCATACATACATACATACATACATACATACATACATACATACATACATACATACATACATACATACATACATACATACATACATACATACATACATACATACATACATACATACATACATACATACATACATACATACATACATACATAAATTATATAGGTGATACATTTACTGAAAGTCTTTTTTTCACCTATATAATTGCACAACTCTGGATAAGCTGAGGCAGTTTTATGGAAAAATTTATGTAATATTAAACTTAAACTTATTATATTATATTATATATTATATTTTTAAGATCTACTATATGTCAAATAATTTAATAATAATTCAATTAAATAATTTTTTAGCATGAAAAATTTATAAATGATAAAATTTAGCAACAAAATCAAGAAAGACATTAATGATGATTATAATCATTATTAATATCTTTCTTGATTTTTCTTGATTAAAGATGATTATAATCATCATTAATGTCTTTCTTGATTTTGTTGCTTAATTTTACTATTTATAAATTTTTTATGCTAAAAATAAATAGAAAATTACATAGATTTACAGAACAATTTATACATCATTATTAAAAACTTCTATGTTATTACTTTTAGTATTTTCTACATATTATAGCTTGTAACCTTAAGTTTAGAAAGTTCATCTAAATAATAAAAAATGCAGAGCATCAATTCCTGAATTTTAACGTCTTAAAATTTGATTTAAAACGTTGATAATCTTACGTTTTGATATTTATGGAAGCTATTCCATTACACGAAGTTAAGTTAGTCTAGTGTTTTTCTCATTTATCATTATTTTATCTTTAAACCAGTGAGGATTTTATCTCTATGTTGAAAGTTATTCAAAAGCTAGAACTTATTTGATGCAAGCTTACTAGACTACTACTTGTTAAGAATCGTATAATATGATTATCAAGTTTTCAAATAACATAATTTACAACATTTGTAATATTTGAGTAAATAACTTTAATAAAGCTAAAATTAATGATAAATCAGAAAAAATACTATACTAACTTAGCTTCGTAAAATGGGATAGCATCCATAATTATTAAAACATAAGATTATCGTTTAATTTTAAAACGTTAAAGTTCAGGAATCGATGGTCTGTATTTTTTTTTCTTTCTAAATATAAAAGATGTTTATTGTAAACATAGAATTGATTATTTCAGTGATTTTAGACATTCTTCTTGACAATAAACATTATTAATTATCTAAATTTTCATAAACTTTTTCTGAAATCATATTTTTTTTTTAATAAAAAACATTACACTAAGCACTCACTTACTTGCTAATAAAATAGTTTCTATGCGTAGCAAAACTTCACAGTAATGACGGACATTTACGGACAAGAAAAAAAAATCAAAGCAAAAAAAAAAAAAAATTTTTCTTGTGACGTAAAAAACAGCATTGACGTTTTTCAAAAAATTCGTTATGAAAACAATTCAAGTGAGATAAGTATAAATATATCATTATTTTTTATTAATAGTTTCACCTTTTTAAGTCACTATACAGTGCCGACATCACCTGGGGTATCCCCTACTTTTATTATAAAAAACTTTTTTTCTTTTTTTTTTTCCAGAAATTTCTTGATATAGACGAATGCTCCTCCATTTCGAAACCCTTGTCGTCGGTCGTGAATCTGTGCGGTACTTCCATAAGGTATAGTTGATTTGAACCTCTATTGTTATAGCATTTGTCTACCGCAATTTATAAAAAAGATTTATTTTTGCGCGACAAAAAAATGGCAAAAATAAGTACTTTATAAAATATATTTACAAAAAAGCGTTCTTTATAAAATATATTTACAAAAAAGCGTTCTTTATAAAATATATTTACAAAAATGCGCTAAAATTTTTTTGTTTCTCTATTGAATTTTTTTTCTAATTAATTTATTTATATTTTTATTTCAAAAATTACATACTAATGGTACTTATTATATTGACATACGTCAACATTGTAACAAACGGACGTGTTTTTAAACGCTGTTGGTGTTGTTTTTGAAAGTTTGTTATTTTATAAAAGTTGTTTTAAAAGCTGTTGCTTCTAAAAGTTGTTTTCGATTGAAACTCCAAGCAAATGGACGCGTTTTTATTTGCCCTTCCTTTTTTTTCTGTTTAAGTTATTTTTACTTCAGGTTTTTTATAAGCCACTCTTTAGTAGATTGACATGAAAGTCGAAATGAAATCTTTATTTTTTGACTTTTTTTTTTTTAATGAAAAACAGTAAAATAATAAACGGTTTCTAAAGATTATTTGATAATTAAAGATTGATACTTAAAAAAATTAAGGAATGCGGAGAATCCCTAGTGGGCACACGTTGTTCGGGGACGCATGCCTATTGGGTCGCAGAAAACCGCAAGACCTTGTCGTCAAGAATCGCTGCAGAATGAATGTGTTTAATATTTTTCGGAGTAAATAAAAGTAAAAAAATACATCATTGCAAGATAAACAAAATATTTAAATAAAAGCAAAAATATTCTTTATGATAATTAATCCAAGATCGTAAATAATTAAGAATTATTTGAAATTCAAATTTAAAAGTCATACAAAATAGATTCCGTTTAGAGATAAAAATACACATCATACAACTACTTTTGATAAAATACATATAATTTTAAAATGTTAAAAAATAATAATAATAATAGGATTGATTTAATTAGATGAAAACGGGGAAAGATGGTTTTTCATATAACCATCCAACAAAAACACTTAAAAATGGGTAAAAATGACACTGTATTTTACATCTTGTCTTTTAAAACGTCTAATAATTTCAAAATAAGTCATAAACAATATTGCATAATGAGTCATCTTGCCCCGGTCACGTAACCAGATGACAAATTTATGAACTTTTTATTTTAATTCTTATTTCAATTTTTACTCATTGCAAACTGAAAATTGATTTAGGCATTTAATCTTTATTATAACATAGACATAGTGGTTGCTTCATGACTGATAGTTTTGCAATAAATCGTTTTCAAATAGGTAATAATAGGTAAATTACTAAAAATTATTAAAAATATAAAATATATCATCAAATAAAAAAACTAGTTCTTTTAGAATTCATTTAAAAGATTTGTTAAATAAAATTAAGAGAAAAATGTTTAAGCTATTTTGTTCCATAAAAAAGGTCCGCTGAAAGCAATGTAAAAGTTACTAAAATTTGTTTGAAAAAACTGCTGCCTAATATTATTATTATGCAGTTAAATTCATTTAATTATATATCTTAAGAAATATAAATCATAAAAATTTTATATTTGAATATAAAACAAAGAATATTAAAAATATTAGGTTCATATATGAATAGCTCTCTGAATAAGCGAAAAACTTATTTTTAATTAACTTATCATTATTTTTTTTTTTTTCTTTCTTATTTTTTAGTTTTTGAGGTTGGCATGATTATAACGGTCTTCAAAATATATAAAAAGTGTCACAGTTTCTGTTGACAATAATGAGGTTTAAGTTTACTTTTATTTGTTTTACCCAAGCAATGTTTTCATAGTTTGTGCGATACTGAATAAAAGAGTAATATCAATTGATAGATTAACTATTTAATTGATAGATAAATCAACTCGTTTCTCCGCGCAGTTGTTCGTCAAGGTTCGTGTTTCGGAGTTATAGAGTTGAGAGAGGGTTATAACCACAAATAAGTAGCCTCCTCGTTTGTAGTGGCCTTCTCGGCCTTGAGGAGGTGAATTAAAGAAAAAAAATAAATAAAAAAAAAATTGTACGCTTTTTTAAAGCACTTCCGTTTCGTAAGTTTTACCGCGTATATTTGCAATATGTTTTACCGCGCATGTTTACAAAATGTTTTACCGCGTAAAACGTGATTTTCCAAGTAAGATTTTGATCCGAGGTTCGACGCCAGCTCCAGCCCAACAATCGATATTGGTACGGAAGGAGGCGTGAACTTCTTGTTAAATGCTCTCCCGCTGTGATAAGACCGTAAGGACTTCTGGGAGCACCTAAAATAACTACAAAAAAAAATTAATACAAATATCTAAAAAGTTGGTTGTAATTAAATTTTTTTATTTGTATGCTATCAATAACAAGTAAAGGCATACCAATAGGCAGTACCTGCGATATTTTTTGATGTGATAATGTAAAAGAATCTATTAGGATTTATCATCATTAAAAGATAATATCTTTATTTTAAACCATTCATACTTTTTAAATAGTTTAAAATATACAATGTGACGAAGTGTTGTAATGGTTTTGTGCAACGTAAATAGACATTTTGTGTCGTCAGTAAGCATAATTGTTTTCAAATCTAGGACTTTGTATAGGCTATTAATATAACTAGCAGTAAGCAACCCGTAATACGGGTTGTTAGTAAATAAAATTAAAAAAAAAAACGCGTATAAAAAAGCCTAGAAACTACTCTAAAATAGAAAAGTCTAGAAAATGACGCATTAACTACTACTATTAAATTAGCGTATTAATATTATCAGACTAGCAGTAAGCAACCCGTAATACGCGTTGTTAGTAAATAAATTTAAAAAAAAACCGCTTATAGAAAAGCCTAGAAACTACTTTAAAATAGAAAAGCCTAGAAAATGACGTAACTCGACTAATAATAATAATGTTAAATTAGCGTATTCATATGAATACGCTAATTTAACATTATTATTATTAGTCGAGTTACGTCATTTTCTAGGCTTTTCTATTTTAAAGCTTTGTTAGAGATCACATGTCGAGTTCCTCAAGGATCCTTATTAGGACCTCTTCAATTCCTTATCTGATAATATGATCATATTATCAGATAAGGAATTGAAGAGGTCCTAATAAGGATCCTTGAGGAACTCGACATGTGATCTCTAACAAACTCGATGAATATTTATCGGTGTGAATAAACTTTTCGATTAGTTTATATTTGATTAGTAACAGCTTTACAAACATTTTAAAAGATTTAAATTTTAAAACATTAAAAAAATTTTAAACATTAAAAAAATTTTAAACAATAAAAAAATTTCAAACATTTTAAAAACTTTAAAACAGCTTTTTAAACATTTGAAAAAATTATTTCATTAAATTTTGATTTTTCAGTAATTTTTCAGTTACTCCTAATATGTTATATAACAAATTCTTTACAGATAGGTGATTATATACTCTGCATTAAAATATTTTATCTTTTAAATAGTGGCGGGATAGCTCAGATGGTTAGAGCGTTAAAGAAAAAGTTGAAACCCGGAACAATACGAGTTCAAATCCCGCTACCGCCAACTCAGCGCTTGAGTAGTACTTTGGCACGCAAAAATGTTGGTCAATAACGGACGCTACTTTGGATTAGTCTTGTGACTATTTGTGGCTGTTCATATGCTAAGCCAACAATATCTTCGGATATAAGAACATTGTATAGAAAAATATAGCATGAAAAATTCAAATAAATAAAAAAAAAAAAAATAAATAAAAAAAAAATACCGAGAGAATTTGATTGATTTTTTTTATACATTTGTTCTCCTTCTTTAAAACAAAAAGCTTTTTTTTAAAAAAAATTGGAAAATCTCCTTGCTTTATAGAATATTTAAACACTTAAAGAGTATGTCTTTTAAAACATGAAAAAAAAAACAAGAATATTCTTATTAATATCATCTGGGCAAACTGTTTTATTAGACTTTAGGGATTGTCCATAAAGTTATGTAACGTTAAGCTTATTAGAAAAGTAGGAGATGGTTTGCTCTTTTTTTATTAGACTTAATGGGCTATTTTTAATTTTGTTTCAATTAAAGACTCTACAAGGGTAAATTTTTGATCTTTTTTGTTTTGCTATTAGTTAAATTGCAAAATTTATGGACGATCCCTTGACATTTTAAAGACACTTTCAAACTATTCAAAAGATAATTCTAAAGAGTTTGGATGCGATGTTAGAGGGGGAAAATATTTTGCAAATTAAAATTTAATAAGAAAAATATATTTGATTTAGTTTTTCTATGTTTAAAAATAAGATCTACTTTTGTGAAACTGATGACCTATATTTTGTGAAAGGTCTTGCAGTGTAATTTCTTCAAATACAGATGAACTTATGTAATTCGAATTTTCAAATGATTCTCGAATTATTATTATTATTATTTTATTTTATTTTTATTTTTTAATTTTTTTTGGTTTACATTTTTTAATCGTTGTACAGCTTTAAATAACCCATAATAAAAATACTAATATAAACTTACAATGACATAAAACATAGCAAACATCTGGACATAGATAAGGTAAAAGAAATTAATAAACTTTATCAAAATTGCAAGGCAAACAAACTGTGTCAGAAGAAAGATCAAGAGGATCTTCTCATCAGATTTTATACAAGAGTAAACCAACATATAAATTAAAAAGGAAAAAGTATAATAACAATAAATAAAATAAGTAGG